TTGTTACTTATATTCTTGTTTGAAGGGGCTTGGCGATAAGACTGAATTTGTCTTCTTCTTGCCCCAGCCGTGTATATACAGTTTTTAAAGTCTAATTTTGTAAATATTTTCTTTATGGCGAAATATATATTATATATACCATACTGACATGTAAAAAATTGCTTGTTTTAAGTAAAAAATTGCTTAAAACAAGTTTTTTTTTGCTTAAAATAAGAATTCATTTTTTGCAGTATGATTGTTGAAGCGAGGATATCTAAATTGTAAATAAAGTGGCTAAAATAGTAAGCGCAATAAGAAGATACAAGCATAGATTAAGCCCATTCACCAAATAATCGGAGTTGCTTAAAGAGCTATTTATTAGAAGTAATATTATTTTATTGGCTAGACCACTGTTTATCAAACAAAAGGTTTGTTTTGAGGCTGATGCTTCACAAAATTGTGAAAACACTGATGAAGGAGGAAAAAAGTGTAGTAGTGAAAATCAAATAAGAAAATTTCTAAAAGAAAAGTAGTATGAATAAAAAATATCTAAATAAAATTGATGTTACCTTTATTTGTTTATTACAAATTTAATTGAAAATTGGTGTTAATTTTCAAATTAGTTATTTTCTTATTTCTCTGTTTTTTCTTTGTTGCATTCAGTTGTTAGAAATTTATTTACAGGGATGCACACCGAAATTACCTCTGTGCAAAATTATAAAATTTAGTTTTATTATATTTATATTATGGAAAGTTTATTGCAAACAGGCACAAACTATACACAGGCAGGTCGTGTCTGTCTGTAGTTACATTTAGTCTAGTTGCATTTAATATTTTTAATTTTCCGTGCACCACAAAACTAATTATCAACTTAAAATTTTTATTCTTTATTGCTTATAAGTTAAATAAGAATATTCTTTTTTCGTTACTTGATTAAAGATTAAAAATATTAGTTTAAACTTTAAACTATGATTCATAGTTTTTTTTGTTTCAACATCGACGAAGTCAACTTCTTCTTTATACTTCCATTAGCAAAAAAATGAATGCCCTTATAAGAGGTGGGGTACTTACAATTATACCTGCTCTGATAAAGACAATAAAAAGTGGGATTTGACAAGGTTCTCAATGAAAATTTTGCGCGCACCTCCTTCATCCATTAAAAGTAAACGTCTGCTCAGTACAACGAGAAACATATTTGAAGCCAAACAGATTGTTGCCTGAGCATGAAGAACAGATTATTTTTTTAAATTATAATTTGACTAATTTCTTACAATAGTTAATTAATTTAAACCCAATAAACTAATAAAATACTATATAATAACAATTACTTCCCTCATTTATAATTAGTAATTACTAAATAGTTATACTTCAAAGTACAAACTAATGTATTCTAAATATTGTTTATAATATGATTATTAAGTTTAGACTTGATAAGACAGTTAATGTCTTCTTCTTGCTCCGGCCAATATTTATATATTTAGTATGTCTTTATTGTAAATATATAAAACGGCAACAACAAAAACAAATGTTGATCAGAAGCAAAACTTTTTTTATAATTCACACCCTGATTCAATTACTAATTTGTAATAAGTAATTACTAATTGGCTAGTCATTTTTGCCATATAACTTTAAGCTTGTTCAAACATATGTATATATATATATATATATATATATATATATATATATATATATATATATATATATATATATATATATATATATATATATATATATATATGTATATATATATATATATATATATATATATATATATATATATATATATATATATATATATATATATATATATATATATATATGTATATATATATGTATATATATATATATATATATATATATATATATATATATATATATATATATATATATATATATATATATATATATATATATATATATATATATATATTTATAATTGCAGTACTTTACTGCAGTTATTATATGTATTGCATATTGCAAAATATGCAGTACATATAAAAATTGCAGTAAAATGTTGAAAAATGTTTTTCGACAATAAGTATTATCTTTAGATAACTAGATCTGCAAGATAGCAAATTTTAGCTATGTAAGTGCAAAATTTTTGGCTTTGACATAGTGACTTCGGCCGAAGTTTCGCCTACTGGAATTTCTTAGCTTCAGTACACCCCTAGTTTATAGCATACCTCAAGTCATCTATTACTGTCAATAACATATCCCAACTTATCTATTACTTGTATGATGGCATCAATCATACTTTTTCCAGGAAGAAAGCAAAATTAGCTATTTGATAAGAGTTTATCTTGAGGAAATTAACTTAAAATAAAATGATAAGTTTGGCTTATTATTTCTTTCCAAACTATATCTGAGAGCTGCACATTTAGTTTTGCACCAAATTCAGTATCAATAAGGAAAGCTGTGGATTGGGGTCAATAGTCAACGTGAATGAGAGTACATACTATTCTTAATATTGACATATTTATATTTATTTCTGTAGGAAACTGCTTTATGAATGGCAAGACGTAGACCAATAATATTAGCTAAACTGTTACGTTGGACGTAAAGGCCAGCGTTAAGTAAATGTTGGCTTTGTTTTATACGTTGTAGGATATCTGTAATCATTGTAGTCAATTCTTGGTAATAGCAGATATTAATAGTACCTAGAAACTGATAGCTATTTAGTGCATTAGTTTTAGCATTCTGAAAGGCTGAAAATAAATCTAATCAATAAGAGTTAAGGTTTGCAAGAATATTAGCATGTCAAGCTGTCTTAAGCATGTCAATTTGTCTTATGCATGTCAAGTTATCTTATGCATGTCAAGTTGTCTTAAGCATATCAAGTTGTCTTATTGTCTTATGCATGTCAAGTTGTCTTATGCAAGTCAAGTTGTCTTAAGCATGTCAAGTTGTCTTACGCATGTCAAGTTGTCTTATGCATGTCACGTTGTCTTATGCATATTAAGTTGTCTTGGTAGCAATTGCATCTCTTTTTTTTTTTTGGGGGGGGAGGAAGCAGTGGCAACGCTGCTTCCCCACCCCCCACCCCCCCCCACCCCCCCCCCCAAAAAAAAAAAAAAAAAAAAAAAGGAGGAGGGATGGGGAATTTATCCATAAAAAGAGGTCATTAGTTTTAGAATCTTGAGCAATTGAAGATAAAGATGGACTCAGTAGTTTACAGTTTCTAAAATATAACACCTAGGAACATTTGATAGATTAATGTCAAGGCTACATAACTAGAGGTTGTTACTCGATTGTAGTTTATTTCAATGTTTCTATGTTTCTTGCAAAATTCAACAGTATGTCAGAATTGGCTGACCACAAGCATAAGAGATAACTCTTGGGTAGTATTTGTGTAATTGGAATTTATTTTTATCATAACTACACATGTCCTTTTGGATATTCATTTTTCAGATGAACAAATGCGTTAACAAAAAGTTATTAGGTTTAAAACTTAAAATCTATAAACTAGTGATCTGGACACGTGGTTGAGTAAATCTAATCAAGAAAATGGGTCACGGGGAACTAGGTATGTCAAATAAATTAAATCTGTCTGCTAAACCTTTTTTTTAGTAACTTTTATGCAATAAACTCTCAATATTGCGGTTTTTTAATAATTGTTTTGTAGGGGAAGTGGGGGCATAACCATATAAGGAGGCACAACCGTTTTTTTAACATTTCTCTTTGAAAAATGTTATTTAATATGGCATACATCCCGTTAGTAAAACAGTTTCCTTCATTCACACTTGAATGCGTTCGTGTAAAAACTCGAAAAGAAATAGTTTTGTTTTGAGATGTTAGAAATTAGATTTCGTATTTTTTTATTTTTTTTTTATAAATGAGTTTTTGAATAAAATATAAAGCTAAGAGTATATCAAATAAGAAAACTGTAAGTACAAAGAATGCCTACACACTATGCAAACGTCCAACAGAATCAGCAAATAATCTGAGCTGTGACAATTGTAAAGACAATTTACCAATAAAAGTGTACCCCTAACAATTTTTGTGAGGGTGCGGTTGTGCCTCACAATGGGGGCAAAACCGTTTTTTTTACTTAGTGTAATTTATGTGTAATAATATTTTCAAAAACTGTTTAATTTTTTTCTTAATTACATCAATTTAAAGCTTAATTATGTGGTTATTAAAGTAAACTGTTAAAAAAACACATTTCGTTTTTATTTTCATATAACATTAATCCAAACGATACGGGGGCGGTTATGCCCCAACTTCCCCTTATATTTATGCTATTCCCCTTATATTTATAATATTATTGCAATGCTGCCATGCAAAATATGCAGTATTTAGAGCACCCGTTTAAAGAGTGTTCAACTAATATAATCGGTATAACAACTCACGTTATAACACAAGATTGGGAAAATCACAATTCGTTATGCCCCGTTCACCATATTTCCATCACTTTTTATTTTGTTTATGTAAAAAGAATATTGTAAAATTTTTATAAATGATAATTTAATATACATTATAGAAAATAACAGAAAAAGTTGCAAGCCACTTACAAGAAACACTAGCTAATATATAAATATATTATAAATAGTAAAAAAGGATACCCTTTAAGCAGGCAGGATATGTTACGGATTGTAACGGATGACATGTTGCTAATAGTAGTTCCAAAACCATTTTTGGCATGACCTAAATTTTACATTCATTTCACCTTTAAAATTTTTATGATTATACCTGATCATTATATAAATGCTGAGCAAAGTGAATTCTACATTATTTTTTTGTGTGGATAACATTTAATTTTAGAATTTAATTTTGGATTCAGACACACTCCGCCTAAAAATTATAAGTTTGTTATGTTATTTAGTGTTATCATACAGAAATGATTATAGTATAAAACCGAAATGTAAATACATATAAAAATAGTAAATTTTAAAGAACCTTGATTTACATAATAATATAATTATATAATTTATTTTGATCGTAACAAATGGTTGAGTTTATTTATAATAAAAAAATAACGATCATTTTGATTAAAATGCCGTTTCTATTGGGAGCATTAATTATCGCGGAAAATGGATACGACGCGCAAAATCAGCGTAAAAAATTTTGTAGAGGAATTTTAAGGTTTTAGTAAACATTGATAATATCGAACAGTTGTTATGTTATACTTTTCCTTAAAATATGCCTTATGATGGGAACTTTGGAGGAAAGAGCTCTTCCATTAAGAAGGTGTAGAAGTCCTACTAGAGTTGCACGGAAACGACTGCAAAATGTTATATCTGAGTCCGAATCGTATGACCTTTTAGAAATTAAAAAATCTGCAAATCAAAATGATATTCCTGCACATTTATATGGTTTGTCTAAACGTGTTGCTATAGTATTTTATATGCATATTAATCCAGTTTACTTATTAAGTTGTTTCTATTTCAGTTAATGTCAAACTTTTCTTTCTTAACTTGCTAATCATTTAGCAGAATTCAAATAAAATTTTTGATTTCATTAATATCATCTTTTTGATAAACAATAAATTGACATTATTTTATGATAAATGACAAATTTAGAAAAAGTGTTTTATAATTGAATCTTTTCTGAAGTATGAAAAAACAATTAATTTAATTACAGCAATCAAATTTACACACTTAAAAGTTGTTAGAGTTAGAATTGTTTATAGATTTAGTTCTTATCCAGATTTTACCGAGTAAATATTTTGACATACAATAGCTAATTACTTTAAATAAGATATTTACTAGTTTCTTAAATAATTCAAACCAAGTTAATTTAATTTTTCAATTAAATTGAGAATTTAAATTAATTTTGCCTGGAATTGAGTTTCTCATTTTTTCAGGTTTTATGTAATGTCTATAACATATACATTATTTGTATCCTTTAAATATTTGCTAAAACGCATTTGATAAAACACATAAAATCCATTATTTGTCAGTTTTTAAGTTTGAAAAAGATATTTTGAAAACTATAAATCTGCCCTTATATAAAATCATTTTAGTATCATGACCAGGATGTATAAAGATTTAGTTATATAAAAGAATAAATATATTAAATAATAATTTAGTTTTTCACTGTTAAACTTAAAATATTTTGTTTTTAGGACTTGATAAAAGTGAAGATAATGTGTTAGGTAAGCTTTTTTTTTTTAAGTAAATATTTTTAAAACTTATTATTTGGCTTATATTACTTTCAAGTAGTTGATTGTTATAACAGTAATAAAAAAAACACATTTTTATAGTTAAGGTAGGTTATGGTGGGGTAATCAAAGCCTTTTCGTAGCTATTTTTCTGCAAAATTTTAAATGTCTTAAAATCACGATTAAATGTAATTTTTAGTGATTTTTATAAAACAAGGTATTTATTATTTTTAAAGGTTTTTAAGTAACACTGCTTTCAGTCATGGTCAATAGGCAAACATCACCCCAATTAGTGAAATAATGTTAAATTTTTATATATACATCTGCTTTGTATGTAAAGTTCTGAATACTTTCAATTTTTGTTTTTCTACAAGTGGATTAAAATGATGCAAAAATACAGTCTTTTTTAAATTGAAAAGCCATGAAAACTGCCATGAAAACTCTGATGAATACAAAGAAGATTTGATGGTTTACTTAATCCAAAGAAGTCAAAACACATTGAACAGAAATCCTGAAGAAACTAAAAAAGAACAGCAATATTGATTTTTTGATTATTTCAGGTTCTCAGCAGATTTTACGCATGACATATCTCATCATGATCATCTTTGTGTGGTTCTTAGAATTGTGCACTTATAAAGCGGTTCTTGCAATTCATAAAAATTGAAATTCACACTGGTGGTGGTCACACACATGTGAATTTTTCGAATGAAATTTTAGTAAACTTTTCAGATCGCAGGTCTCTGTCATACAATAGCGCATCTAATTTGTCTCAAAAGAAATAAACATGAAGTTGTCTTTCCAAATGAAACAAATTTATTTTTATTTTATTTAGTTTTATTATTATGAATTGTTCTGGTGAAATAAGGTTTTCAAAACATTAAATTAAAGTTTTTTAAAATTAACTATGAACCAAAAACGTTGTACCGTTATAATGTTAACTAGTAATACAGATTTACATATTAAAACTTATTGACATAGATTCTCTTGTTAACAATCTTTCTCAATAAAAGCAGGAAAAGAAGTTATTTAAAACAGAATTCATTAACATATATATTTCTAGTTATAAATTATTTTTTAGTTTTCATTTCACATTTCATATTCAAAATTATTATAATATATGTAGTAATTTGAAAAATAACTTTAAATAAATAAAAAAAGGTTCCAGAAAATATTCCAGAAAAACAAAACAAAGCGTCAGAAAGAAAAGTAATGTAAAAATTTAGTTCTTAAGAGACGTGTTCATATAGACGTAAAAAAGTATTTGCGTGTTCATATTTTTGCGTGTTCATATAGATGTGAAATCGCATGCCTTCCTGGCCAAGCCTATATATATATATATATATATATATATATATATATATATATATATATATATATATATATATATATATATATATATATATATATATACATATATATATATATATATATATATATATATATATATATATATATATATATATATATATATCTATATATATATATATATATATATATATATATATATATATATATATATATATATATATATATAGATATATATATATATATATATATATATATATATATATATATATATATATATATAATAAGAACTCTTAAGTATTGATATAAGTTTTAAAATTTAGATAAGAGAAAAGATAAGATGAAAAAAAACTGTGGTGACTGATAAATCCACAAATTTGTAAAAAGTTTTTGTCTAAACTCAAATGAAAATAGACTAAATGTTCTTGTTCTTTTGAATTAAAGTTTCATTTTTATATAAGCAAAGTTTTTAATTTGTTTTTTATGAATTATTAATGCATCCCTCCTATATCCTATAACTCCAAAAAATCTTTAAGCACTTGCTAAGTAAGTCTATGTTAAGACTAGGGCTGTACCGGATTTAATTTTTCCAAATCCGGCCGGAGCCGGATTTGCCGGATTTTTACTAACAGATCCGGCCGGAATCGGAGCCGGAGCCGGATTTTGAAGCAAAACTACAGGAACCAAAATCCTGTATATCCCTACTTGGTGTTGAAAATGGTCAACAATGTTGACTATTTAGATCGCCAAGTGACAGTTCCCGACGGGCATTTCTTTTTAAAAGTTACGATCTAAATGTATTTTATATGTCTTTTAAACGTCTTTTAAACATTAATGTTTAAAAGACGTTTAAAAGACATTTAAAACACATTCAAAACGTAACTTTTAAAAACAAATGCCCGTCGGGTTGTTTTCTATTAAACATCATTTTTGTTGTTTAAAAGTTTTATAGCAATTTCTATAGAAATTAATAGACATTTTATATAAATTTTATAGAGTTTCTATAGGCCATATGTTTCTAAAATTTAGAGAAATTCTACAGAACTTTCTTTCCCGGGATGTTGTCACTCCGCCACTGTAGTGAATTAGCGTGTCTATATATTTCTGATTCCTCCAGATATTGGCTTAGCTGAGTGTCAATGCCTGTTGGTAATTGTTGTTCATGTGCTGTGCCACAATCGGGCGTAGACTGAATAATTTCATCTATATATATTGCCATTGTAATGATGATAATGTATAAGAATTATCCAGCCGGGATTGTTTTGCTGGATTTTCTTTATTTTTTTCAATCTAAAAAGGTTTCTCCTCAATGCCTTTGAAACGCTCATCTAATGAGTTGATTAGGACTTCTCTTCAGAACTTTTTGTTGCGTTCTTGTTTGAAATTAGGCTTAGCTAATTAAATTGTAAAAAAATGTAAATACAGATACCAAAACAAACATGAAGTTCAAAAATTAAGTATTATGTATACATGTTATCACGGGTAAGAAAGATGTAATAAACATCCAGAAATCCGGCCAAAATTATGCCGGATTTGCTAACATTTTGCCGGAGCCGGATTTGGGCCGGATTTGTAAAAATTGCCGGATTTCGGCCGGAGCAGGAGCCGGAGCCGAAATTCGGTACAGCCCTAGTTAAGACCAATGTGAAGTAATGTTGAAATTAAATTTTCATAAAAAAGAGTAAGGGTATAGAACTTGATAATTTTCTTAATGCAATTTTTCAATTTCTAAAGCTCTAATTTAATGATGAAAAAATTTGTTGGCAAATGTCAGAAAAAAAATTACTTATCATAATTAATTATGTTGTTTTAAATTATTTTGTTTTTTTACATTCAGATAATTTTCTTAATGTAATTTTTCAATTTCCAAAGCTCTAATGTAATGATGAAAAAATTTGTTGGCAAATGTCAGAAAAAAAAATTACCTATCATAATTAATTATGTTGTTTTAAATTATTTTGTTTTTTTACATTCAGATCAATGCTTGTGATTTTTTAAATCTTGATTTGCAGAATATTCAAATTTATTATTTATTATTTTTAAAAAACTTTAGAGCATCATGAAAAAAAAAGTAAATTTTTTTCTAGATATCTTAATGCCCCTCCTCAGTCTTAAGGAATTTCTTTCAGACAGTCTTAATGAAGGTTTTTAAATACAAATTTTCAAATTATATATAGAATGCAAAATGTCAAAAAATGTATTAAAAATATTTTTGATTAAAAATGAAGAGTTTTATTTTTTTTAAGTCTTCTTTCTTCAACAAGAGTTTGTTTCTCTACATAAAATATATTAGATCAATTTTAAACGCTTTTTGTTATTTTTTTATATTAACGAATTTAAAAATTACACATAAAAATATTTATTAAATTTAAGTGAAAATATATTTTTTAGCTCTCTAAAATATATACCATTTTGTGTGTTTTACAGGTCATAAAAAGGATTTCAACATAGCTACTAATATCCTTAAAATAGAAAATACAAATGTTGTTGGTATGTATAAATGTTGTTGTTGTATATATTTATATATACATCAAGCCTTCCTAGGAAATGTGTGCGGTTTTTCGTCTTGTACACATGAGTATTTTATTTTAGACAAATTGGTCATGACCATTTGCAAATTTTATAATATGTGTTGCTGAAAAAAGTTTCAAAAACAAAAAAGCAAAATTAATAAAATAAAAGTAAACTAAACTTAAATAGAAAAATTAAAATAAAAAAATAATAATTTAAATAATTTGTGTACTGTTTTCATTTTTGCTTCTACAAAGTGGTTGTTATTTTCAGCAACAAAATTCATTAAGTCAAAGCAAAAAAAAAAAAGAAAAACAGTTTTAAACATTAAAAAGAATGATTTACATATATTCTATTTGTTTTTTTTAAAGAGGAAAGCAAAAATATAATTTGTCATCTCTTGTAAAATATATTTGTATAATTTTAATGTAACAAGTGTATATTTTCCCTATAAGAAAATGTCTATGCAATGCCCACATATACTTCTATATATAACTTTTTGTGTTATATAAGTATATTTATTTTATTATATGTATACACAAGTTTAGCTCATTTGAATAAGGCATTATGTTTATACACGAAATGTATATGGTTCGATTCCCACAGTTGTCCACATTTTTTTGTTTTTCTTTTAAATACGGCTGGTCATATGTTTGCTTTGTAACCATTTATCTTTTCTTATTTGTATATAAAAAATCTTGTTGTATGTTTCTGAATGATGCGCATCTCATCACATTCAGATTTCTAATACCATTTAAGCTTTTCAATGTATACTTAAAATAAAATAAATATAATTATACAATACAAAAAGTTATACATAAAAGTATACGCATTTATTACAATTTCATAAAGGAACTATATATATTTTTTACATAATACAAATATATTTTACAAACACATTGCGATTTATATTTTCGCTTTTCCTCTTTTAAAAAAAAAATTAAATAGGAAAATCATTCATTTTAATGTAGACTTCAAACTGTTTTTTTTTGTTGTTTGTTTTGTCATTTAATTATGTTGCTGAAAATAACAACCACTCTAAATAAACAAAAATAAAAACAGTACATAAATTATTTAAATTATTAATTTCTTTTATCTATTAATTTTTTTCTATTTAAATTGCTTTTTATTTTCTATTTTGTTAGTTTTGCTTTTTTTGTTTTTGAACCTTAGTTTTTTCCGCAAGGAATAATATTATAAACCTTACAAACAGCCATGACCATATTATCTAAAATAAAATACTCGCATGTGGTCATACAAGACAAAAAACCGCACGCATTTCCTAGAAAGGCTTGATATATATATATATATATATATATATATATATATATATATATATATATATATATATATATATATATATATATATATATATATATATATATATATATATTAATTGGTAAAAACATATCTAATTTTTAACACTTATCTATATATAAATATGTAAATACAAACTTACAAAAATGCATTAGATACAGATTTATGATGCTATACTGAAATAAGGAGTACATACATCAATCGACTAAATAGGTATCATGTGCAAGGAGTTCATTATTCTTTGGTTTTCTTCTTTTTCTGAAAAATTAAAGTGCACAAAGTATATTGGGAAATAGCGTCCTTAAATTAATATTATCTGTTATATATATATATATATATATATATATATATATATATATATATATATATATATATATATATATATATATATATATATATATATATATATATATATATATATATATATATATCAGAGCTGGGTCGTAGTGCGACTTGGTCCACTATTCTGAAACTCTGCTACATGTACAGAGTACATGTACATGTACAAGTTGTAAAGCCATTTCACTAAGATAATCTAAAACGCTACTATGCTACCATTAAAATTTGAAAATACCATTTGAAGTTATTTTAGTTACAGACATTTTCCTTTACTAAAAATCAAGTGAAAGAAAAATGAATTTTCCATATAAAGTCTGGGGCTTTTCTTAGAAATTAATTTGGATGGCGTTACACCCTTGTCTCGACAAAATTTATTGGAAATATTGCTGAATGTAGGTGATTTTTGCGAAAAAAACATATGCCATAAAATAAAAGGTCCTTAATTCTGAATTTGGGTGGCAAAATATTACATATATATTTTATATATATATATATATATATATATATATATATATATATATATATATATATATGTAGTTGTATTTGTATGAAAATTACATATCATAGCATGTCACTGTGTTTTGTGTGAAAGATATCCAATGATTACAATTAAAGGTATTTTCAAGAAAAAGTTGTTGTTTAGGTTAAATTAGATAGTATATATTAGGTATTTCTAGTATATATTAGGTAGTATCTTCATTAGGTAGTTAAATTAAGTAGTATTTTCACATGATAAAGTGGCTAAGTTTTCTGTGGCAACTGCATGGCAGTTTAGTATCTAGCATAGTTAAAGAAGTAAAATGAGTAAGAGAAAATTTTCAAGATAAGATCTAACATTTTTGAAATCTAAATATAGATTTCAAAAATGTTTTATGGTGACCACTGTTATAAACCTTTTTTTTAAGTACATTTTTATGTTTTAAGTTTCCTTTTTTTTTCCAAGTTATTTTTTTACTTTTATTAATAGACTTTAAGGAAAATTATAAAGATTTTAATTTATTTTTAATCTTTATTGTTCTAGGCTGCAAGAAAAGCAATAAACTGTGAGTAAAAGTTCAGTGTTCAATTTAGTTGCTTTTGCAATTATTTTTTTAAATTGTTTTTTATAGCTGTACTATATCATAATGACCTGTACAATATTTTATCATAAAAAATATTTTTAATTATATTAAGCAAAAAAAAAAACAAACACAATTACATACAAATACATACTTAAATTACTTGTTTTAAATTGTTAAACTAATGCTTTATTGCTTAGGTTACAGTGTAGTTGGCTGAAAACTATCCTAATAATATTTTGCATTGGAGCTGTTTTTGGTAAGAATTTGTTTTTAATACCAAACTTTTTTTTTTAATTACAAGTTTTGTTCATTTTTTTCAATTTTTAATTTTTTTTTTTTAATGAAATTTATAATACTCTATTTCTTATAATTTCTGTTATAGTGGCTTTTTGGTTTGGAGCCAAAAATAATGTAAGCCTAATTTTTTTTACGTCATTACATACATTGTTACATATTATTCTTTTTAAAAATATATTGCTTTAATAATATGCTTTTATTTATTTGTTTATAGTATGATGATCAAACCAATAATGATGTACTTTCAAGTTTGCAGTTGTAAGTTTTTAAAGTTTTGAAAAAGTTTCTCCGGTTCTAAAAATTAAAAAGATTTATTTTAATAATTTAGCCAGCCACCTGAAGCTGTAACTATTGAAGAACTAAATAAAAAAATTGCTGCACTTGAGTTAAATTACACCCTTGTAGAGTCATTAAAACAGTATAGCAATCTACAGAAACAAACAATAGACAAGCTCCAACAGCAGGTGTATAGAAATTTTATTTACTATAATAACAAGAGGTTTATTTGCTAGATTTTTTTTAGTTTTTTTGTATTTTAATTGTTTTTTTTTTTTTTTTAATTAAAGAAGAACAAAAAATACTTACCACACAGGTTTTATGTAATTCTGCAAATTTTTGTTTAGCTATACCTGATTTTTGGGATAAATTTTGTTTATTTAGTATAATGTTATGTGTTTTTAATCAACATGTTTAGTATTGAAATCATTACTTATGTTTTAACTTGTTAAAACTAAATACGAGTGGTTTGTTAAAAATATGTCGTCTTAATGATAAATACAGTGAAATTAATGATAAATACAGTGAAATTTTTTTATTTTATTAAATAAGTTTATAGAAAAGTCTAATATTAAAACATATGTTGAATTCTGAAGAGTTGATTTTTTTTACTTTTAATCATTTGAGAGTGGAGGCTTAGTTTTGTTTTTCTTTTAGATCAGTACCACAGTTAATGTAGTAAAGTCCCTGAGTGAGAAGCTGAATCTTTTACAGAAGGAAGCAGAAGATGGTATTTTATTTATGTAAATATACATTTTAATGAAAAATTTCAACATTCAATATACATTTGAATAAAAGTTTCAACCTTCAATTTGTATTTTAATAAAAAAATTCAACATTTAATATAGAATTTGTTACATGAAGTAATTTTTCACGTTTACTGAATTAAAAAAAATACAAAATTAGAGTAAGATTGAAATCCAGATATGTGGAATCAGTATTTTCCATTGATTCAAAAATAACCATTTAGTTTTTAATTTTATAAATTAATAGTTTTTAATTTTATGAATATATTGAGTCTGTGATAATCTTTTCAAAAATAATCTAAAGATCATGCAATATTAAGAATATGATTTTTTTTTCAAATCTAACTTTATTTTTGGCAATACAACATTGCTAAATGCAATCAACAGCAAAAATTTAAACTTTTCACATAAAATACTTTTCTGTAGGTCATTGTCCTTTACAAAAAGTTTTAATGCTATTCATGTTGTTCAATCTTGTTGATTTATTCTTTTAACTAATGTTAAAAATAGAGAAGACAATGTCATAAAATAGAAGTAGAATGAAAAATGCCTTAAATAAAATGAAAAATCAAAAATAATAATTTCAGAATCTTTAATATATTAAATTTAAAAATGAAAAGTGCAATACATACATATTGTAGAATATCTTTAAATTATATGAGCAAACTTGGTGGAAAATGGTTTTGCTCCAAAAAGACAAATAATTTTAACTTTTTTACTTACATGCTTAATAGAACGAAAAAATTCAACAAAAGTAACATTTGTTGTTCCTGGCATCATTTTTTTTGGAGATAATAATTAATAGGAAAGTTATTTACCTAATCTATGTAATATACATGGTGCATCAATGCACTAGTAATGATTTATTAGCAGTAGTGATTTAGTAGTAGTGATTTGACTTAGCTAATGCCAATAATTTTGTCTAATTGATTACCAATGGCATAGGCTAGTAGGCTGAGTCACTGCCAATGTAAATCTGAAATATGTATTTTACATTCCTAATTCTACTAAATTAACTTTATATTATCACATTAAACTCTATTATAAGCCACAATTGACCTTTGCCATCAGTATATCACTAACATATACATATTTCATTCTATTTTTTTTTTCTTTGAGATAATTATTGTTTAAATTGTTTTTGTTAATTAATTTTGCATATTTTGTTTAAATATTTTTATTTAAAGAAAGATGCAATAAGTGTACATACAAATATTAATTTAATAAGAATAACTTATGCAAAGTAGATTAATTTGATTCCTTTAAATTATTTGAGTTCAATACTATTTAATTTACAAAAATATTTATTATTTCTAAAAAAACAAACATATGGGTTCTTTTAAAATAAATCATTAAAATAATATATATATTTAAAATAATTATTATGCTTTATGTGCTTACTTATAAGCATTTTCTTTATTGAACAAGGTTTTATTGTAACAAGTTATTAATTTAGACAAAAAAAAAGTTGAAATGGATCAAAAAAGAAACGAAAATGGACTTTGTCAAGGAGATGTTCGTATTTTTTTAAATAGTTGTTTATTATTTTTATTATTATTTTTAAATAATTGTTTAATAGAAATGTATTTTTGAGGTTATTTTTTTTACAATAGCTTATTTGTTGCTATATCATTTATATATCATTGTCATTTTTGTTTTCTTGCTTTTCTAATATTAGGGTAATCTACTTAACAACACAATTTCTTTTTAATTGTTCTTAGGAATGCAGATATTCATCTCAAAACATTTATGCTGTAACACAATCATTTTTAGAAGTTTACTCTGCAGACAAACTAGGAATACCTGACTTTGCTCTAGAATCTGCAGGTAGAATTTGTGCTTGTATGTGTGTATGTATGTATGTATGTATGTATGTATGTATGTATGTATGTATGTATGTATGTATGTATGTATGTATGTATGTATGTATGTATGTATGTATGTATGTATGTATGTATGTATGTATGTATGTATGTACATATGTACGTTTGTATGTATAAATAAGTATTACTTGTATCAGGTTTAAAAGGTTTAAATCAAATGTTTAAACTATATATATACAGGCTTCAGCAGAAATGGTGGGCTATAGCCTGTGCCCATTTCCACACCTGTGTAAGTCATAATAGCCAGCGCATAATATAAACTTTTTGGTAAAAAATGCTAAATATGTTGATGTTTTTTATGTAGTTATTCTTAAAACTCCTTATATGTATAATTTCAGCATGGATGAAAAAACTTCAAGTTTTAATTCAAAAAGTCAAAAAATATAATTTAGCTTGATTTTAGCTTGAAAAGTTTTTTACTTGATTATTATGTAATATTATGTTGTAAAAAATAAAAAAAAGAAATCAAACAGTTTTTTCAAACAGCGATAAAATCTATTCTGTATAATTCATATGTATTATGTTATAATTTAAATAATTAGTATGTTTAAATACAGGCAAAATATATGTATGCTTTGCAAAAACAATCAAATGTTCATGTTTAACAAGTTCACTTGAGAGTGAAGAAACAAATTGAAACAAAAACATAGAATAAAAAAAATACACAAAATGAAGCGCATACAAATAGCTCTAAGCGAAAAAAAAAAAAATGCAATGTAACTTGGAAAAAGTTATTTTTTTTACTTCACAAGTATTTAACTCATTTATTAAAATTTAAATTACATTAGTCTTTTTTAACAATTTTTTGTTTTCCTTGTTATTATTAATGTGCTTGTCAAAATTTTCAAAAAATGTCAAAAAATGAACCAACTTTTATAATATACGTAGAAGTACAATCAATCGTTTTTATAAAATGACGTTATTTTACATAACAGTTTTTAAATTGTTGTTTAATTAAAATGATTGATGTTATACCTTTTTTATTATTTTTATATTTTATTTTTGTTTAAATAATTAAATTATTGAATAAATATAAAAATAAAATAAAAATTAGTTAAAAAAAAAAAAACTGTTAAAATAAGATAGAAATGTTTTTTTTTAATGTTTTTTGTGCCTTTTTATTTCTTTTCATTACAAATACTATTCCTGAATGAAGAAGGAAAAAAACAAAAAGAATTATTACGTTTAAGAATTATTACAACAGTTAAAGATTCCACTATGTGACTGCAAATTTTGTAAAAAAATTATTTTTTGACCAAAATTAATGCAGAATAAAAACTTGAAGTTAAAAAAATATTAAATTTATTAAAAAGTGTTCAGAAAAACATTAACTACATTTTTATTTAATATGTCTTCCCTCAGCATCAATCACAGTTTTAAGACGACTCCTGAACCTGTGCGTAACAGGTGGTCTAGATATAGTCTTTGGGCATTTTGTTCCATTCCTTTTTGATGGCAGCCCTCAGGGAGTTGACACTGTTGAGGGGATGTTGATAAGCCTTTGATTCTACATATGCCCAAATTGAACAGTCAAGAGGTAACAAATCTGGAGGTCCAGGTGGCTGTAACATTTTTGACCATTGTTTTGGCAGGTTCTCCTGGAGCCACCTCTGGGTCTGAGGTACTCCATCTTACTGAAAAACCAAATTGTTGTCTGGAGAGTAGTGGTCATCTATTCAAGGCTTGACATGGTTTTCCAGGATTCGAATGTATTCATTTGTGTTAACTTTCTGACTAGATTTGATGAAAACTGCAGGCATTGTGAGACCATCAGTTGAAACCATGCCAAACATCATAAGTGAAGCCAGATGTTTGGTCTTGAATGTATATTTTACATACTCTGGGACTGATTGGACTGGTTGATGGCTATTAAAATGATTGGTTCTATTGTTTGATACTGAATCAACAGTAATCAATTTCTCGTCTTAGAAGAGGATGGTCATTTGTTTCTTCTTTAAGTGGGTCAGAAGTTTTTTTGATCTTTCCAATCTTTTTCCTTTGACACTTGGGAAAGTTTTGCCTTAAATTCCTTTCATATTAATTATCATAAGCCATTTTACTCATTGCCCTAACTGAATTCTGAAAAAATTTGGTCTTTGACAGCCTTGATCACATGTGGAGTTCGAACTGACCTCTTTAAAACACTGTCAAACTTCTTCTTAACATGGCCAGTCATTTCAAAATATTGAAGCGCAGTGTAGGCAGTACTTAGAGGCTTGTTTAGCATCTTGGAAAAGTCTTTAAGTGTGGTGCCATTCATGGCCAGGTCAACAATTGGTTTATTTTTACTACTAATTTTCACTTTTTGGCTGTTTATTTGGTTTATTATTATTTTCAAAGTTTTATGTGTCGACCAAAATGAACTATGTGCGTAAAAATACCCACAGAACATTTATTTTGAAATTACCAAACTTTTTATGAGATGTGGTATCTAGTTCATTATATGTAATATATAAAAATCATTACACAAATATTCAGTGTGTAATAAATTTTTATTATATAATGACTTTAGGCAAGTATAAAAAACTGTTTAGGCAAAATAAAAATGCAGTTATAACATTCAAAAAAAAATGTTTTATCTTTTTTAAAGTATTTTTAAAAATGTTCAATATAAACTGAATTTTACATAATAGCTTTATTATAAAAATATAGCATTGACTAAGAAAAAGTTTTATGACAATATTATCAATTTATTTTTTCATAATGGCATTTTTATAAGGAGCTGATTTTTTGTTACAAAACTAGTTAGTTTGTCCAATCTAATTAAAAACATTTATATTTGGCATTCTTTTTAAATTTTTTTGTTGCTATAACCGTGCCTCTATAAAAGCATTACAGTTTATTATGCAATTATTGGTTTATTTCAAAAATGCATGTTTTTTTTATTATTATCTTTGATGTAACAATAATTCTTTTCTTTTATAAACAACTTTGCCAACTTGACCAAATTTTTAATGTTATAATGATATTACACAGTATTTTATACAAAGGATTTAAAGAAAAATCTCTGCACTCAATATCTGTGTTTAAAATGAAAAGAAAAAACTCTTTTTTTCTTACTAGTTCTATTGTAACATTGTATTATAATTGTGTGATTTTGCATTTATAATACTAATGTTCTGCTTTAATAAAACAAAAAATTTATAGTAGTGTAGAATATCTTATATTATAAAGTTGACAAGTTGTTAGCCATTTCTACAGTTGAAATATAATCTCAAGCACTACAAAAAAATCAGTGACTATTACGCAAAAAAAAATTAACCACTTTATGTGAACAAGAAGAGTCAATATGAGACTTAAACTTTTTTTTTTAATACAATGTTCTCGCCAAAATTTTTGATTTTTCTGATCAATATCTAAAAATAGAGAAAACAAAGTGGTTTAGATTTATGACAAAATTATAGTTTTGCGAGAGCCATAAATTGCTACCATAAACTAGTTTAGGGAAGTGTGGTCAAAAGCAAAAGCAAAAGCTCTTGACCACACTTGTGTGGTCAATGTGTGTGTGTGTGTATATTTATTGTATCATTTATTTTTATTAATTGTATTTATTTATTCATTTGCATTTAAAGAAAAATACAAAGTGGTGATACTGGTTACATAGTACACAGTTATATTGAATAGCAAGATGAAGCAAATGTAAAAAGATTAATTTACATGGTTGTGTATAGTTTTTATTAAAAAATCCAACTTTAATAATGGAATGGAGAGAGAGTTGATTTTGAAATAGTAAAATATTTATTCAGCAATATCTTTTAAAAGAAAAAGATTATGCCTAAAAAAATCAAAATCCAAAATAGGTCGAAAATCGTAAGTTCAATTTTATACATGATAAGTTCAAATTTATTACTGAAGAACTCATGCTTACTTTAAAAATTCTTTATCATTATTGCATCTTTTAATATAAAGTTCAAGTTGTAAATCAGATAATGCAATAATACCTGACACTATAAACTATTAAAAAAGTATTAAAAAACTATTATTTACTTAGTAGAACCATTAATACAAAACCATATGTGTACATAATAGTAATGCCATTATTATGAAATTATTTTGACCAATCAGTTTAATCTTTGAAAAACTTTTTTGTAAACAAATTATATTTAAGTAAAAATGAATTGTTTACCATGAATTGTTTTATGAGAGATTGAAAATATCAAGTATCTTAAAAAGTTTTAAAATTTATTTTATTTATTTATATTTTCTCTTAAACACCTGGCAATAAATTACAGGTAAAATAAATTATAATTAAATATTCACCAATAAAATTAAAATCAGCTAAAACGACACAGCTTTTGCAGTTCTTAGCATCAAATGCTAATAACCAGGCGGTGTGTTTTCCGAAGTTTAAACCAATGGTGTTGCAGACTTCAAATACTTTATTTGTAAAGAATTTGTTATTCTGTATTGCCTGCAATTGATTTATTATCAGTGAATAGCAAGTTTGATTTTTCAATAGCCTGATAGAAAGATTTACTTTGTTCCTAAGCAGAATAGTTGAAAACATCCTCTATTTTAAAAAAAGAGGGTAATTTTTACTGTACTTTGAGATACAGAAAAATGATTTTAAGATTGCTCTTCCAACAGCGTCTATTTTGATAAGAAAACTAATCATAATTGCATAGCTCAAGACCATATATAAGCTTCGGTATTGTACAAATGGACTATTGTTGATGGCTGGCAGTAACAAATCCTACTGTCGATTAGAGTAATTGCAACCAATTGAAACTGAAATATACACTCATTTAAATTTGTTTTTTGGAGTGTTGCAATTTAGTACCGTTATTCTGGAATAACTGGAAACTTATACTGGAAACCCAGATGTTTTAATTTATTTTGAAGGTAATTTAAATCTGTTAATTTGAATGTTGTTGAAAATGTGTTAAATATTATTGCAATTTTTAAAACAATGTTTTATACTATATTTTTATATTTTTGTGATTTATTCTCTTCCGAATATCAATATCTTGAATAACAGAAATATCAATATCTTGAATAACAGATCCAATACCTATAATTTGAATTGATGAAACAAGATCAATAAGCGTATCTTAGTTTAGGTTTACTTTTTAGAGTACGAAAAAAAAGATAGGTATGTAAAAAGTTCTTTCTATAGCATAAAAAAAGAAAAATATTTTAGTAGCTATTTTGAGTTGATCATTGTTTAAGATTTTTTTAATGTATTTACAAGTTTCGTATTATTTCCATATTTTCTTTTTTTAATCCAACTTGCTGACATCTGCAAATAGTTTGATACCACCATCACCTTCAATACAAAAAGTTGATAAAACAAAAAACTAAAATGGACCTTAAGATCTTGAGGAATTTCACTCTTTACAAGAATATTATTCACATACAAGTTGCTAATAAAAATTATTTATATGAAACTAAAATCTATATTATAAAATCTTATATCCAAAGTTTTTAAAAACTTACTGTAAAAGGTTTTATAAAAGATACAGGTCTTATACATTTTTGTGTGTAAGTTCTCATAATGATCCTGTATTTTTTTTGGCTTCCTTTTACACAATTAATATTTTTTTCTAACATTTTTTATTGACTTAACATTTTATACAAAAAAAAAAAATTTTTTTTAAGGAGGAAGTATTCATATGCCACATCATTCTGAGACTTGTGAATCTGGTTCACCGATTATTAAAGTCTTTGGTTTACCTTTATGGAATGATCCACGTTCTCCTCGCAGCATAATAAATACAGATAGTTTGCCAGGATCCTGCTGGCCAATGAAAAGCAGTAAAGGATATGTAGTTATAAAGGTTTGCTTATTTAAGTATTATTCTATTTTGTTTATAAAATCAATTAAAACTGCAATGTTTTTTTAATTAGGTTTTTGGAAATTATTTTTCTTGTAGTGTTTTTAAAAATGTTTTTAAGTCATTTAATATAAGAATCCAATTTTCCAAAATAATCTCTTTTTTGCCATACACTAATTTTCTAAAATAATCTAAAAAATATTTTCTAAAATAATTTGATAAATATTTTAAAAAATAATCTAACAAATATATTTTATTAAATAATCTTACAAATATTTTCTAAAATAATTTAACAAATATTTTCTAAAATAATCTAACAAATATTTAAACACTATTATTATACCTTAACTTCTAGTTTTAGTATCTTCCCCCTCTGATTATTTTTTTTAATTAAAAATCTGTCCATAAAATAAAACTTTATCTCGTGTTTTTGTTTATATAAAATTGAAGTATTAGAGTTTCACATGGACAATGTCTGAAAAAAAAGTTAAACTAACTTTTATAACAGTGGCCAATATAACATTGTGGTGTACCAGATTTACAGTTTTTAATGAAATGCAAATTGGCTAAAGTTTGTATGTTTTTAACTTGCATAACTATCACTAGATAACCCGGTTTCATTTTCATTCACAGAAACTTTTTTGAAAGAACTAATTTTCTTTCTGGATAGTTATAGCTAAAGGTAAAAATATAATCAATATTTAAAAAGTTGTTTAAGTTTCTTAAGTGTTTAAGTTTCTTATTGTTAAACTTATCAATTAATATAAATTAAAAAAAAAAATTAGTTCAATTTTTTATGTCACCATCACAACTATATACTTTTTTTTATTTTCTGTTTATTTTATTTTTTTGTTTTTGATTTTTACATTAAAAAATTTTTATATTAGCTTGCTACCATGATTAAACCCACAATGGTGAGTTTGGAGCACTTAGATCAAAGGCTAGACCAATATTCGTATAAATCCTTCAAAAGTGCACCCAAGGAATTTCAAGTATTTGTAAGAAGTTTGTTTTTAAACTTTAAAATTATTTTTTTTATGAGGTCAATTGTAATGGCTACAACTGTTATGGTTTATTATTGTTATTATTTTTTAAAGTTGTTATTTATGAAATACTTTTGTTAATCTTTTTAATAATTAAAAAATGTTCATCTTTTTTTTTTTGCAATTTTGAAGTTTTTTACTGGATATAGTTTTTGCTTTGGTTTCTTTTTATTCTTTTGACTGTTGGACTCTGATACACAAACCATGAGAGCTTCTTCAAAAATTCGTTGGACTCTGATACACAAACCATGAAAGCTTCTTAAAAAACCAAGTTACAATACTACTTGGCATATATTGCAGTTTGATTTCAAACCTTTGACACAAATGTAAACCTGCCCCCTAACCTTTTTAATAATTTTTCGAATCTTTTATTGATTTTTATTTTAAGATTTTATGATATTTAGAAGTTATGAACTCTTACAGTTATGAACTCTTACAGTTATGAACTCTAAATAATGTCAGTAAACATCAAGGTATCATATGCAATATCTGCAAAACATATAAGTTATGCAATAACAAAGCAAAAAATTTTAAACCATAATTTGATACCCTATAATAGTTTTTTTCTAGGCATGCTTTGATTTGGTAAAATGATTTTGTTAAAGCTTGATTTAAATTACTAAAAAAGTTTTTTTTTATTGGTTTGATTCCACAAAATAATTTTTCTAGGCATGGTTTGATGCGCAAGGAGCCTCAAAAGCAAAAATTGGTTCATTTACATATCTAAGAAACAGTTCTGCAATACAATCTTTTAAATTGGAAGTAAGAAAAGTATTTTGAAATTCCTTTTTTGATTTTGTATTAAATCATTAAGCGTTAAGGTTGATATTTTAATTTTTATTAGTAATAATAATAGTTATTATTACATTTTAATTTTTATTAGTTAGCTATTTTTAGTAAAATAATATAAGATTAAATTTTTTTTTAACATCACAATGTTGGTAAATCATTCGTCGTCCTAAATAATAATAAGCTGAAAAATTATTTCTTGCAATACAATGCATTCTTCCTTGTCTAGCAGCATTCTGTACAAAATTTAGATAATTAATTTTATCATGTCTAGGCCTATTTCTTTTATTTTTGTGGCAATTATTTTAAACTTGTATCTCTGTGCAGTGGCGCTGTCCATCAAAGTTGGTGAATTAGCATAAAAAAAAAAACTTGCCTAATCACATTGTCCTTATTTAGGTTCAAATTAATTTCTGCAGTATTTTTTAAATTTCACAGAGGATTAATTTTTTCTTGCATTGGTCTATCTCTTTCATTTCTGTGTCATTCATTTTTAAGTTTTCACTAAAAACTTCCTCTAGTCTGATATCATCCATTTTAATTTAACTATTATCATGAAACATGTCATTAGTAGAACAAATAGATATCTTTTCTGTATAGTTCTTTAGTTTTACAAAAGTTTTCTCCAGTATTCCCTTCAATATCTTGGAGGGGGCATTTGAGCTTGAAAAAGATCCTACTGCTGCTACAGGATGGGGCTCATAACCGCAATTAGCCTCCTCATCTGTAGTGGCCTTCTCAGCCTTGGGGAAGTAAATTTAAAAAAAATAAATAAATTTTTTTATTTAGACAAGGTGCAAAAACCCATTTTAAAGTTGGACCTGCACTTGCAGCCAATCTTAATGTTGCTCCTCTTTCTCTTTTCTATAAATATTATGCTAGGCGCTGCTCTAAAGAGCTAGCATCTCTGGTGCCATCTACTTAAATTCATTCTTGTGTTACTTGCCATTCAATTTAGTCTCATCCTTCCCAATTTCTCCCAAGTGCTCCATATATTCTTATTCATTTAGTTTTTTTTCCTCAAACATCAGTTCTTTGGAATTTGCTTCTTCTTGTTTTCCTGATTCATATAATTTGGAATTTTTTAAGTTGTCTGTTAATTGTCATCTTGCTTTATAAACTTCATCTTTACTCTTCCAGTAACTTCCAGCTCTAATATTGGTTGCTTGCAGCCTTGTTGAAAGTAAAATTCTTAATTTTTAAAAATTAATACTCGCTAAACTAATAATAAGTACTAAGTAAGTGGTTCCAATTTTCTAAATAAGTGGTTTCAATTTTATAAAAGATCTGGAAAACACACTTCTACTACTTTAATCATAGGAGATTATTATAATCATTGGAGATTATTATAATCATAGGAAATTATTATAATCATAGAAGATTATTATAATCATTGGAGATTATTATAATCATAGGAGATTATTATAATCTCCTATGATTATAATAATGATTATTATAATTGGGTTGTAATTATTAGTCTTCTCTAGAGTATTAGTTCCTTTACTTTGAGGTCATATTTTTAACACAGTATTTCTAAAATAGTATTTATTTCTAAAACATTTCTTTCTAACCACAGTATAAGTCATTCTCAAAGGCCTTCACTCTTCTTCATTTCCGGAAACTTTAAGAGTACCTCAAAGTTCTATTTTTGCTCCTGTATTCTTTCTTATCTACAATAACGATCTTTCTGACAATCTTACATCTAAAGTGACTTTATATGCTGATAACTTAACTTTATACTCTTGTCTTGACAAATAGTCTTCTTTTTTTGATTGTTTAGAACAGAAAACCAATCTTTACTCTGATCTGTTTCCTGTAACAGATAGGGGTTTAAAGGGGTTTATAAGGGTTTCTGGATTTTAACTTCATAAAACTCAGTTTTATGGAGTTAAAATCCAAAACAACTATCACAATATTGTTGACATTTCTATATCGACGAATAACAACCCTCTCATTATCGGACAAGTTTTGAAAGAGTGTATATTAGAGTTAGTGAAACCACACTTAAGCTTAGATACACTAACCATACAAAATCTTTTAATATCAAAAATATTAAAGCGATACTGAATTATATAAGGAAATATGGAGGTTAAAAGAAAGTGGAGTAAAACTGATAATTAAATAGAAAATTGTAAACACTGCAGATCTTACAATCCTAAAATAAATAATGCAACCTATATCTATATGAAAAAATGTCATAATATCTTACACCAATGATAACTTTAAAGATTAAAGGAATAAATTAGTATCTAAATGTAGACATAAAAGCAAATTTCTTCTTGCAAAATTTGATACGGATGATTAGGCAACTGTTTTTTATTTTTTTCATTTTTTATTGTTTGTTGTTTGTTGTTATGACAACAAAGCATACTCCACTGTAATTTTATATTTCATCTGTTTTTTTGTTTCTTGATTTGTATTACATGGCTAATGATTGGCTTTAGGCATATATCTTATACTGCTAGTTTAGGTGAGAAGCCTGCAGCCAGGGACTTCAGTACATACATAGACTGATAAATAGTCTGCTGTGCTGCTACATCGACTGAGGGTTTGGCATAGGGCAGCAATCTTTTCTTCCATTATTTTTTAATTTTTTCTTCTTTTTCTGAAAATGCATATTTACTTAAAGTAACTAAAATATGGTAACAATATGTTACATAAATATTATGTAGTAAATATATATAAAACTATTAGTACCATAAATAAATATATATATATATATATATATATATATATATATATATATATATATATATATATATATATATATATATATATATATATATATATATATATATATATATATATATATATATAAATTAGTAGAAAATCACTAAACAAAATTTTTTTTTCATTTAACTCTGTGTTTCATTAACAAAGACTCATCAGAAATGGATTTCTGATGAGTCTTTGTTGATGAAACAGTGTTAAATGAAAAAAAAATTTTGTTAAGTGATTTTCCACTAATTTATAATTGCTCTATACTAAGGTTACTATACTATGGTCACTATACATACTATGGTTGGCTCTTTTTTAAGCGCTCGCCGAAAAATTTCAAGCGTGTTTTTAAATTGCAACAAATTTTTTTTCTTAATCAAATTCTAATTAAAGAAGTATAAAAAACAAATATTTTTTAAAATCGCGCATGCCTGACAAATAATTACTGGCAGGCCAGTGCTTTTTCGAGTGCTGGTGGTAAATTTTAAATGGAGAAGACTGATATATATATATATATATATATATATATATATATATATATATATATATATATATATATATATATATATATATATATATATATATATATATATATATATATACATACATATATATATATATATATATATATATATATATATATATATATATATATATATATATATATATATATATACACACAGTATTGTACAAATTAATTGCATCAAGCTAAAAACAACTGTAGAACTTAGTTTATTACGGTTTTGGTAATAACAGTTCATATCTAATACTTAATATGTGATGCAATTGCACTTTGCTCACGCTGTGGCATAGAATACACCAGAGTTTGACACAATTTCTTCAATTCTTCATCATGGAACCAGATTTCCATGGTGGCTTCTATCAGCTTCAGTTTACTGGTACAGTCGCGAGTTCTACGCCTCTTCTTAACTATACCCCATAAATTCTCAGTGGGATTAATATCAGTTAAATTGCCTGGCCATTTTAGACTTGCAATTCTGCTGTCTTCTAGGAATTTGGTAACTTTCTTTATGTGTGACACGGTGCTAGGTCCTGCTGAAACAACCCGTCATGGTCTGGGAACTGATTTGTCATCTCTGGTATCAGTTTTCTCGTTAGAACATCGACGTAGCCATCAGAATGCATCATGCCTGTCACAGGCTGAAGTGCTCCAGGCCCAGCTGCTGTGCCAGCTGTTGTCAAAAATTGCTTCTTGGTGGGCTCTATAGCTGGCCGCCCAGCACAAACCAGTCTCCGCCTAACAGTGCTTGAACAGACACTGACACAATGACTTTCAAGATCATTCCTAAGCTGGGCACTTGTCTTCTTGGGGTTCTTCTTACTTTGCTGTAGTAGAAAACGATCATCCCTGGCTGTAGTCTTTCAAACCATACCTGCCCAGTTGCTTTGGAGAAAAACCGCCAGTTTCTCTGAACAGCTTGAACACTCAGCTAACGGTAGACTGGTTGACATGGCATAATTCTGCAATCTCTTTTTGACTTTTTCCAGAATGTTGAATCCAAGTTACGATTTTAGAACGTTTTCTAGGTGTTACATCCATATTTGTTTAATTATGCTAAAGAAATAAAATAAGAACTAGATAAGAGCTTATATGTAGGTTTTTTGTTATTTTTTTAGCTTGATGCAATTAATTTGCACAATACTGTACATATATATATATATATATATATATATATATATATATATATATATATATATATATATATATATATATATATATATATATATATATATATATATATATATATATATATATATATATATATATATATATATATATATATATATATATATATATATATATATATATATATATAGGCTTGGACGGGAAGCGGGAGCGATCGCTCTCGATTGCTGACCACGTAAATAATATTTAGTTGCGAAAAGCTGGCCAGATTTTTTAGTCGCTTTGAGAACATTTTAAAAAGCAAAAAAAAAAAAAGCGCTAAAGATTAATTGGACCGATGAGAGACAATTACAAAAAAAAAAAAAATTAGGTAAATAAAATATCTTTAAACGCGAAAAAGCTAAATAAATTACGTTTAAAACAAATACTTTCAAATTATCGCTCTTTTATAATTTTTTTTATAAAATTAAGCGATGTTTTTTATATAAAGTAACAAATTACGATTGTTTAAAGAGGAAACAAATATTCTTTATTTAACAAAGTATGCAAGCTTTAGTTTAATTTTAGCTAAACAATTTTATAAATAATAAAGTTAATTTTTTCAATA